ATATGAGTTGTGGTCTCCAAATGACCACTGCCTAGTTTTCTGGTCTTACTTGTGGGTTTCGTAGGCGATTGGAATGGTGTTCTTGTTACTTGTGGGGGATCGGGTTTACATTCCCATAACTCGGCCTTTGTTTATGGTCTCCATTACTCCATGACAGAGGGTTGGAAATCGGGAGTCACTTTGGGTTACTTGTGGTCTAGACAGAGGTGATGCCTGATTCGTGAGGGCGTTGGCTATCGGAGTTCGGTGCACGTCAATTGTGGATCGGGTTGTCTTTTGTGGAGGTGCGTCCTAAATTGGATAGGAGCCAATTTCTGAACTTGTTTTTGTGTGGGTATCGTTTTGTTTCTAGGTATGTCTATTCCAGGAGTACCTATATGGGGTGTTTATGTATATGGGAAGAGAAAGGTGAAAGGGTCTTCTGCCAATAGGAATAAGCTTGCTATGAGTTCCCTCGGCGCTTTCATCCTTGTCTGGCCCTTAGTCGAAATTCTCCCTTTCACGATTCATCTCTTGGTATTCCTTGGGATTTACTTCTGGGTTTTTCCTCATGGACTTCTTCTGGTCTCTCTTTGCCCCATCTGTAATTTACCGTGACAGGGTAGTAGAAGTCTTGGCGAGGAATTTCAATTACTTGTTTGTGCGAGAATCGAGGTACGAGATATACGGGGAAAATTTAGGTGTGGGAGGGGTTTATAGTATCCTAAAATACTCCTATAGTATTTTAAACTTGATGTTCGATTCTAGTATTCTCTTGTACTCATAGTTGGTAGGTTTTAGGTTTGTTGCAACACCACCATCACTCCCAAGCACATGTTGGTCATATCTCAAATAAATATAGTTGATCAGACTATATTTATCCCAAATATGATTACATACTGTCTAGGTTTGACTGTAGCGTTCAACCTTTAGTTACTTTTGTTTTCTTCTCGTTATGATACTGTGTTAGTAGATATGTATACTTTCATAAAATACTTATCTGTTTAAAGTATACTTTCAGGCAGAGTGTGATTTAGTCCCATTGTATTTATAGTTGTATATCTTGTATGGCTAGATATACCGGTTCACTATAAACATTGCTCTGATACCAATCTGTCACACCCCCCGGACCAGACGGCGGAAACGTCCGGAGGCGGGTGACTTCATTGTGCAGTATCATAACAATTGAATATAAATGAAACAGAGCAATCCAAACATCATACATTGAGATAACAAACTTACATTGTTTACATATTGTATTTGTTTCTTCGAATTACACAAAAGAGACATAAGCAGAAAAATCCAAGCTACAGCTAAAAGTCTTGCATCCGCGTCCCTTGTTACCTGCTTACTAGATCCCTGAGAATACAAGTCGTTTTGAAAAGCGTCAACTAAAAAGTTAGTGAGTTCATAAGCATTTTTGTACAAAATCGTTTACACTCGTTTAGAATCGATCTTATTGTACTTTCAGAAAATCCGATATTTTCTATGAAATCGTTTGAAGTCTTGCCTTGAAAATCATGGATATATGTGTGCATGTCATTACTTTTATTCATCCTTATAAGGAGTGATTTTGAAAAGTAGTGTGATTTGTAAAAGCGAGTTGTGTACGAGAATAGTTCTTTTGAATAGTAATAGTCAACCGTTTCCAGAAAAATCCCTTATTTTCAAAAGAGAATATGGTTGAAAATCTTGTTCCTCTTATCGAGTAAAATTGAGTGTGCGTTCTAGTTTATCGTTATCGAAATCGTAGAAAATCGTTTTCTCCAGAAAATCCTATATTTTCTGGTATAAAATATTCGTAAGTTCTAGTTCCAACTATGTATATGTGTGGGTTAATTTATCGTTTTCAAAATCGTTTACAAACGTTTTCCATAGAGTCCTACGCTTTTTAATTTGTAAAAATAGCAGTATTACGACTCTATACTTGTTAGGAGAAAGAAGCAACATGACAATTGTGGACATTCTACACGATGAAAAAGGAAAGTCAACGCAACAAATGCGGACCATCACTTATCATGTATAGGACGGTCAACACAACGTGCCAAAAATTTATTTATGAGGTTTTTCCTTACATAAATTTCTAGATGACATAACATATTCTAGTGAGCCGTTATAACCATACTAATCTGACGAAGTGCCTGTTTTGGCGTTTCTCAGGCGCCCTCGGTTTGGAAAAGACATTTGTCACCCTAGACTGGCCTGTCTAGCTGTAGCGAACAGCGAAGGTGCGGGGTGTCAACCCCGTATAAATCTATACACAAATTCCCGCTCTCCCTCCAGGAGACTCTGGCTATAACTCCTTACAGGACTTAGACGTACACTAATATTTTTATATTTATGTACTTTTGAGATTTGTCTGACTAGAATATTAACAACATTTTGAGCAACCGTTAAAGATCCATTATTTGTTAGATAAATAATGAAATTTGTACTTATTGCATAGAAATATCGTTCTCGTTCCATATCGTTGATTGTGCTCGTTAACTAGGTGCTCGTGTTCGTTCATTTTCGTTTATTGTAAAATAAGTCATTTTAGTCAAGAGAAAAAGTGTCAAGTTATAATTTGTATAAATTTATAACTGCCAGTTATGACACGCATTTTCTGTTTTATGACATATAGAACATTACTTATGTTGTTGGAGGTTTTACGACAGCAGTTTATGACATGCAAATATTTCAGTCATAAAGGCTCTATTTGTGTATTTTCTTGACGCAAACTTTTATATTGAATATTTATAAAATACCCACTGACAGTTTGTAAAATAGTCACAAAGTTCCCATTTTCGAAAAATCACTAGAAATAGTGTCAACTTATCAAGGTTCCTTTTTAAAAGTTTTATTTCTAGACATGAAAACATAGATAAAGGGCTTAAGTTGGACACATCCAATAGTTAGGAGGTTCTTTTGTACACAAAGTATCTTCTGTTTCTTATGAAGTTGTGAAATCTTACGTTCATGAGGATATTACTAAAATAATAATTTAATAATATTTCCACACACATACAAACATACGTATACATGCAAGTATGCAAGTATTTAGGCAAGATTTAACTTGTACTCTCCCCCCAAAAACATTAAAATATTGAAAAAGGTGGGGTATGAAGCTCACCTTGAGTTGGTTGATGAGTTGTTTGGAGTTATGGAGTGAAGATCTCAAGCTTAAACTTTTGGCTGAGATGAAGAACTTCCCTAGGAGGGAGGTTTTCCTAAGGATGATCATCACATATTATTATGAATAAAATAATATGGATTCATCTTGAAATATTATAAAATATTAGATTGGTGGAGGAATTTACCTTAAAATTTCCCAGGAAGAAGTTGAGAAATTTCCTTTCAGCAAGATCCCATGTTCTTGCTTGAAGATGAGTTTTTGAGAGAAAATGGGAAAAGTGTGGGAGAAGGTGAAGTCTAAACTCCTTACTGACGTTGCTTTGAGGATGAAAAAGGGAGGGAATTTTTGGTGCATGGGGATCTGGTGGTCCATGCATGGATATTTGGTGGGTAAAGCATGGAATACTGTGATTTGCATGGGAAATGAGAACTTCATCAAATCACAAGGTCAACCTCTTTGTCCTTATCTTGATTTAGGATAAGATCTTCCTAAATCCCAAACATTTATTTTATGTAAATATGTTTAAAATAATTAATTTTGGCATAAAATAGGGGTTTAAGGGGGTTTAGGATAGGAAAAATGAGAGTTTGGTCTGATTTTCGGCGTCAAAATGTCCTAAAATGATGAAAAGTTCCGGAAATGGCACAAATCCGAAGCCTTTAAGTGAATTCCAGAGTCCATGTTGAATTTCCGGAGTCATCTAACTAGTTCCAGAGTCACAGCCGAAGTTCGGAAGCTGAGTTTCAATTTCCGGAGCAATTCCTCGGTTCCGAAGTCAGGAGGCGGAGTCAGTGGTCCGGTCCAAGGTACGAAGCCAGCTGTACTTTCCGAAGCGACCATAGGCGAGATCCTTCCGGAGCCAAGGAGCTCTGAGGTGCGAGATTGTCCGGAGCCAGGATGTTCCGAGATTGCGAGATGGTCCGGATGAGAGGCTTCCGTGGTGCGATTCCTCTTGGTTTCCTTAGAAGACATTCCGGACTAAGAGGTTCCGGACCAAGAGGGTTCTGGCCAAGAGGTTCAGGACCAAGAGGGTCCTTTTGGGGTTCCTCTTCTTCGACTAAGGAAGGTGCTTAGAGAGATTTGAGATACGTGGAGAGATTTGGGAGAGATTTCACATTCTTGGAGAGATTTCACATACTTGGAGAGATTTCGCATATGGGAGAGATTTGGGAGAGATTCCACATACTTGGAGAGATTTGGGAGAGATTTCACATACTTGGAGAGAATTGGGAGAGATTTCACATACTTAGAGATATTTCACATATGGGAGAGATTTGGGAGAGATTCTACATACTTGGAGAGATTTCACATACTTGGAGAGAATTGGGAGAGATTTCACATACTTGGAGAGATTTCACATATAGGAGAGATTTGGGAGAGATTCCACATACTTGGAGAGATTTCGGAGAGAGTTCACATACTTGGAGAGAATTGGGAGAGATTTCACATACTTGGAGAGAATTGGGAGAGATTTCACATACTTGGTGCAAATTGCACTCTATCTTTCCATGGTCCATTAGGAACCATAAAGTACACTTTTAATGTGTTAGCACAAGTCTCACAATAGTTATTGCTTACATGAGGACGAAATTTCCTAGCCAAAATGCTAGTTGTGACAGATACGTGGTAGAGTAGCTTTTATAGCTGAGTGATATGTGATAACGGTAGAGATAGCTATTACAGCTAGTACGATATGTGTTATGTGGATTGTGTGTGGGGTATGCTCTGGGGGACTCACTAAGCTTTGTGCTTACGGTTTACAGTTTTGGTTTCAGGTTGCATCGATTTGGAAATGAAGGGCTCGGATTGATCGCAGTGCACACACCTATGATTTCCGCAATGAATGGTTTTGGGACGAACTCTGATAATTATTTTACTTAATGATGATTTGGAATGTTTGAAATAAATGGTATCAATGTTTTAGCTATATTAAAAATGAAATTTTTACCCCTGATTTTTGGGTCGTTACAGAACGCAAACACCGACATATTGTCGAAACCGGTTTAGCCATGATGTTAAACGGTCACATTCCCCCATCTTATTGGTTTCATGCATTCAGCTCAGCCGTCTACATCATTAACCGTCTTCCTACGCCGGTTCTACAAAAGAAGACGCCATTTGAGCTTCTCTTCGGCCGATGCCCATCATATGGACATTTTCGTCCCTTTAGGTGTCGTGTCTATCCATATCTACGCAACTATGCAACACACAAACTCTCTCCGAGGAGCCTTCCGTGCATTTTCCTTGGCTATTGTTCTCAATATAAAGGATATCAATGTCTTGATCCTACCACTTCCCGCATATTCATTACTCGACATGCTAAATTCGATGAACAGTTGTTCCCATTTACTGGTGCATCCTCTCAAACCCCGAAGACGTTGCTCGTGTTATCTCGTTTCTCTTATGAAGATTATGGTTACGATGCTCCCACACCACCCGTGACTACCTCCCTGGCCTCTCCGGCCCCTTCACATGCATGTGGGTTCTGCGAAGATGATATTCCTGTGGCTGCTGCAGCCGGTCCTCCACCTGTCATTCCAACAACACCACCAGCTCCTCCCATCAACACCGATCACGCCGGAGAAACAGGTCCTGCCTCTACCTCTACCTCTACCTCGGATGCCACTACTCAACTTCCCGAGGTTCTGATGGGTTTTGAGCATTCTAACACTCATATGGTGTATATGCAACCCTAGAAACCTTGGATCTATGTTTGACTAAGATACATGCAAATAATTATTTTTCCAAGGTTCTTATCCTAACTAGCATGGCATGGGATACTTGAATCAAATAAAACTAGTAGAATTACTTACCTTGTAGTAGTAGTTGATTGCTTGGAGTTTGAGAGCCTAGCACTAATAATGTGGATGCCTCAAATGGAAGTCACAAATCACCACAAACTTGGAAACTTGAGAGAATAGTCACAAACTTCTTGAAATCGGCCCTCTTGGTTTACACACATCAACTAGTGCAATTTCAAGAACCAAAGCCTCCTTTATATAGTGTGGTGGATTAGGGTTACATCCATGTAAACCCTAATACCCATGTCTTTTCATTTCCATGAGATCCATGGGTTAAAGCTCCATGGAGTATCCATGGACTTTCCATGCAAGCCTAGTCCATTCCAAATAAGCATTAGCCCACACTATATAAATACAAGAGCCCATATTTAATTAGTCATACTTTTGATCTCTAAATTAATTCTAAATTAATTATAGATCAACACTAATTAAATAATATGATTTTATATTAATATATTAGAATTTATAATATATTAATAAATCATAACTTATACTATTCTCAAAAGATTATCCGTAAATTGTTCGGGTGAAGTGCAACCCAAATGGACCATGCCGGGTCGGGTCAAGTACATACCAAATATAGTTATGGACTTAGACACTATCTCCAACAGGTTCCCCCTGTTACGCCTGCTGTTTAGCCCCCTACTGGCGGTCATCACATGCAAACGCGGGCCAAATCGGGCATATTCAAGCCCAAACACCGTGCCCACTTGGCTCAAACAGCCGTTTCCTCCGCATTATTTGCCGATACTGTTCCTAAAGGATTTAAAACTGCCGTCAAACATCCTACATGGATGTCCGCCATGCATAAGGAAATGGATGCTCTACTCCATAACAACACATTGACTCTTGTTCCGCGCCCTCATCATCACAATGTTGTGGGTTGCAAATGGCTCTATCGTACTAAGTATCGTGCCGACGGCTCTATTGAACGCCACAAAGCCCGACTTGTCGCCCAAGGCTTCAGCCAAATTCCGGGTCTTGATTTCTCTCAAACCTTCAGTCCGGTGGTCAAAGCCTCTACTGTTCGAGTTGTTCTCTCATTGGCTATTCTTAACCAATGGTCGCTTCATCAACTTGACGTCAATAATGCGTTTCTCAATGGGGATCTAAGTGAACTCGTTTTTATGGAGCAACCAACGGGTTTTCAAGATCCTAGTCGCCCCGATCATATATGTCGTCTGAATAAAGCCCTTTATGGTCTCAAGCAGGCTCCTCGGGCCTGGTTTCATCGCCTCAACACTTTTCTGGTCTCCAATGGCTTTGTGTGTAGTCGGGCTAACACGTCTTTGTTTGTCTTCAAACGCGATTCGTGTATTATCTACCTTCTTGTCTAACGCGATTCGTGTTATTCTCTCAAGTTGGTTGAGACATCAGTACCCCTAAATAAAAGATCAATAGAAAACCACGAAACAACACATCCACACATGTCGTCACGAAAGATACAAACCACATATAACAATTAAATAACTAACGATTAATATTTGATTTGATTAATAAGATGATTTTAACTATTAAGATGGATAACATATTAGGTTAATATAAAATAAGGATAATATCATTGAGACCCATCAAATTTTTCTTGGATTGGAATAAAAGGTCCTCAATTTTTTTTTTTAATTTTAATTTTTTAACTCCAAAGTTATGATTTAAAACCTCTTCAGTTCAATTGTAAATGGGTAACTCGGTTACCCCTACTCAATTTGCTATCAGCCACTTCTGTCAAAAACTTTGTATCTTTATCGCTCCTCAATGATTTATACCACCTTGGAAACCATCTTCATCACTGCAAACTTCCATTGTTGCCCCTTTGTTGAATCTATCCTTGTTGCAAATCTTCAACTTTATAGATAAAGACACCTGCAACAAAATATGTTTAACAATGCGTATCATGTATTAAAGTACGAGAAACAAGCAATCTGATGCATGTCTGACAGATTCAAACCATATTGGATCTTAGCATCCCTAAAATTGTTGGATTATGCCTTCATTTAAGGATGAACATGTGACGGAACCGATAATGGTTACCGAACCGCTACCTACTCGAGAATCTCGAATAACGAAATGGGTGAAAAAACGATATTGAGTGCCAAATTGAACTAACATTATCGGTACCGATACCGAGAATGGTACCAGTTTTCGATACTAACAGTACCAAATCCCGAATTTCATTATTTTAGAGTACCGAGTACCGTCACATATGTTTAAATTCAGTACCAGTATAGAATTGATATTTGGTACTAACCAATCATCCTACATTTACTCATGGAGATTAATACCTAATCTAATCTATTAAAAGAAGAGGTCACATGATGAAATTTTCTAAACCTAATCACCATATCAGTCTCATGGATTCCCCATCTCATTTTTGTTTCTAACACTACCATCAAAGAAAAATCACATAAACTTCTTAGGCAAATTACAAAAATTACAATTCATATACGTATATGTGCCTATTGTTCTTGTTCTTTGATTGGTGAGACCGATTTACCATCAAACCATTCCCTATGAAGTCTAAGTTTTTGACCGGTTGAATTCCAACTGTTCCCTAATAGCTCTAAAGAAACCGAGTATTGATTCTTGAGGAGGACGACGTTGATGACTCCCTCCCATTGACCCTCGTTGTTGTAGGCGTCGACCTCATCACTAAACACAAAATTAATATCACGATTCTCGCAATGGGGAAGGTGCCTTAATTGAAAAACATCACAGGTTTCACGGATGAGGTTTGGTTATGGATTCATCCGCTTGTAAAGTAGTTGATTACGTGGTGCCCACCTATAAAATTGTTGATTATGTGGCACAAACCACTAGTAACTTTAGGCTAGGTGACAAAATCAGCAGGTCGAGATCGACTTTCAACACCAAGAAATTTAAAAAAAAAAAAAAAAACCATGACATTTTAAACCGATATAGAAAAGTTGGTAATACAAAATACAAATGCCAATTAGAAAGCCATAAAATTTGGCCTAAAATTAATAGATAGCCTATATATTACCATACAATAAGATCCAATGCCGATAAAATTACCCTAAATATATAAAGTTTAGTAGTTTACTGCAAAAAAAAACTTAATTTTACAAGAATAGCAATAAAGGTAGCTACACCTATGCCATTGCTATTGCCACAAGACACGGGCGGAGTCAAGTTAAGTTACTTTGGGGGAAAATCTTGACAATCTTTCTTCTTCTTCTTCCACTCTCCTTCTCTCCCTCCCTCCTATGTATTATCACATATCGATACAGACACAAATTGATCTGTCTGCTGCTTCTAGGGGCTAGATATAAACATTAAGCTTTGGAATCAGTTGATCTTCAAAGGTAAATCAATGTTCTACCGTAATCTTACAAATGTATCCCATCTCTCGATGTAGATCAGCACTTTTAGTTTCTAAGTGACATCTCCTTCAAACGAGTGCCTATTGACTTTAGTGTAGAATCGTAAGAAAAATCTGTTTACTCCATGACTCCATGTGTATCTATGAACTTCGCCATCTGCTTATGCTAGATGTAGTAATATCCTAAGGTGTCAGGATTCCGATATGGTATTACTATTACTGCCTCCTACTAATAACCCCAGAGATCGAGAGCGTAGTTCCTACTTCCTAGGGATCGCATCGCTGTTCTACTAGGGTAGGCTGTTCCGGCATTGACAGATTTAACAACTTTTGATAAAAAGTCGTGTCTGGATATAAACCGTGAAACTACTTTACTGTTCAAATCTAACTATAAGAAAGTTAGGTAGCTGTAATTTCACCAAAATGTGGAATGATTTCATATATACAAGTAATAGTAAACTCTTTAGATCTTATCGCTTTGTAGGGTGCTTATGGTGCAGAAGGTGAGGTTTCCTCCTTGCTTTTGATGAGTGCTGATATCAGCTTTCTGGTTGGAAGAAGTCTGAAATCCGGTTATCCGTGTGGGAGAGAATCTTATTGTATGCTCTGAATCTGGGAACTAATACATACAAATACAAGGTGTAATCTTGTGAAGTAAGCTGCTACAAATTACAATGATGATCAACAAGTCACTTTTCTTGACTTACCTTTATCTCTTAATCTACATTTTGCTGTCATCTGGAGTTATTCTGTACAACAAGGTAATTCAACATTGTTTTAAATTGATCTCTCTGCATCTAACTTTCCCTTGCTTATCATCTTTATATCTATTTGCAGTGGGTTCTCTCTCCAAAGTACTTCAGTTTTCCCTTTCCAATCACTCTTACTATGATCCATATGGGCTTTTCTGGTGCCGTAGCATTCTTTCTTGTTCGTGTTTTTAAGGTATTGTTCTTTATGAAATCTTAAAGAATGCCACAAAATCACAGGCTTATTTTTGCTTCCTCGCTTATATTTTTTCAATCATACTGCAGGTTGTTGCTCCAGTTAAAATGACATTTGAAATGTAAGATATCTACTTCATAATTTAACTAATTTAGTTTCTAGCACATTTTAAGTTTCCATTAAGAATTCTCTTTTCATGGGCATTGACAGATATGCAACATGTGTAGTTCCCATCAGCGCTTTCTTCGCATCAAGTCTCTGGTAAGAATCATTTATGTCATATAGATCTCTATTTTCCTGCATCTTTTTGCATATCTATGTGAGTGTGAAGTTGCTGTATATTTACATTTCAGGTTTGGCAACACTGCTTACTTGCATATATCAGTGGCCTTCATCCAAATGCTGAAAGCATTAAGTATGCAAAACTTTTATCTATATATCTTTTTTTTTTAAAACTTTGTTTATAAATAATATAACTGAGTGAATGTATTTTTGGAATGGACACACACAGTGCCAGTAGCAACACTTATCATGGCAGTCCTATGTGGCACTGACAAGCTGAGGTGGGATGTGTTGTTGAACATGCTGTTGGTCAGTGTTGGAGTTGTGATTTCTTCATATGGAGAAATCCATTTTAATGTTATAGGGACACTTTATCAAGTAACAGGCATCTTTGCAGAAGCTTTGAGACTAGTTTTAACTCAAGTCCTTCTACAAAAAAAGGGTTTATCTCTAAACCCTATTACAAGCTTGTATTACATAGCTCCATGCAGGTATTATTCACTTTTCTTCATTACCACATAGGATACCCTTGTTCATGTCCTAAAAGATCATGTTTCCCTTTTTGCCCCTGCAGTTTTGCTTTCTTGTTTGTGCCATGGTATTTGTTGGAGAAGAGTAACATGGAAGTTTCACAAATTCAATTCAACTTCTGGATTTTCTTCTCAAACGCTTTATGTGCTTTAGCATTAAACCTGTCCATTTTCTTAGTAATTGGAAGAACAGGAGCAGTTACCATTCGTGTAGCAGGTGTCCTTAAAGATTGGATATTGATTGCTCTTTCAACTGTAATATTTCCAGAGTCTGCCATTACCGGGCTCAATATTATCGGTTATGCCATTGGTATGCAAAATGTCATCATTACCCTTGGGTTTAAATCTTTAAATTAATCATTAAAATAGTAACTAAAAAGATTGATTAAAATTTGTTTGTAGCACTTTGTGGTGTGGTGATGTACAACTACATAAAGGTTAGAGATGTGAAAGCATCTCAACTTCCCCCTGAAAGTATCCCAGAACGATTGACTAAGGTCAGTCAAAGTGTTTTAATTTTTTGTCAGATGTCTAAAATACCCTTCAATCTATATTGACTATGTTTCTTTAATCAGGAATGGAAGCTGGAAAAGAAGTCATCCGACAACAACATTAGTGATGAAGATAATACAAGGAATAGCAGCAGATTTAGTTCAATGTCGGATAGTGCAGTAGATGAAGAGGCACCTTTAATGGCATCTTCAAGGCTTTCTTATATTGCACGTTCACAGCTTAATAGCCGAGATACATGATGATGATGATGATGATGATGCATTTAATGTATAAAACTAATCTGGTGAATTCATAGGGACATACATGTATGTGGTTCTTTTCCTTTTGGAAAGTAGTTGTGGTTGGTAGCTCCCTCTTTTGAGGTTATTTTTCTAGTTTTTACATGGTTTCAGGGAAGAACAATCGGTTATTGTATTGTATTGTATTTTTAACAAAGAAGTTTTGAATTTTGGAAGTGAATCAGTGAATGATGTTGACAAATTTCATTTGTTTTCAGCTATTCTTTATGGTTTCAAATCTTTTGGCCTATTGTACACATGCGATACAAAAAAGACTAGTCTTCTGGGATGTTATTTATTGTCACAACTAGAGTGTAGTTCTCATCTAGAATTCAGTGTTTCATAGTAAGACGATAAACATCTGGATGATATATCACTTCATCACAGAACTTCTATAATCAGAATTGGTATGCTGTCCTTGAGAAAACAAAATCCTTGGTACGAAGAATCTAACGAGAATGTTTATAGAGGCATTAGACAATAGAGAAGTTGAAGTTTTGCATAGTTTCAACGAGTTTTTTAGATGATTGATGAGAAGACATCATACTAGAGAGAGGAGGTTACACAGTCTTGGTTTACAAGAGGTACACACATTGGAAGGCAGTTGGTTTGTTGATTGGCCTCCAGATGAGAGATTGTTGAGTTGTGGAGTCTGATGATTATCAAAAGGACTTGAATGTCAGTCAACGACCAAACAATGGAGTTCCTAATATGAAATTGATAGAATACCTCTAGTTTGGTTGCATAACACAATTATCATAATTGTGTGACTATTTACTTTTTAGTTTTATTTGCAAATTATATTTTGTGAGTTTATCGAAAACCTAATTTGCATTTATGCATTGTTATATGATTAACGAATTTATTCGAGCCTTATTTTTATGGTTATGTAACACGTGTAACTTTGGGATAGAAGTTTATATTTTTAATTGAATTTCTACGTAAAATAAATTAATGTTTAATTTAAATTAAATAAAAATAATTGAACTAAAATTTTCAAATTTAGTTAAATAAAAATAATTTAATTAAGATTTAACTACTTGAGATGTGAAAGATGAAGTTTAAAACTTTAAGATTAGAAGTTTAGGAACGAAATTTGTGTAAATTTATTTAAATAGTAAAAAGTTTAACATCTAAGGTAGATAGACATTGAAGGACTTGAAATCTTAAATAAAATGTCATCTTAGGTTGAATGGAAAATTAGAATGTCAAAGGGTCAATTTTGTCGGTTATACAAATTAAAGTGACTTTGAATTAACTTAATTAACTATATTTTGGACCAATATTGTTATAATACTAACTTTTCATGGTTAATATGAGAATTATTAAATTATAAATGTTAGTTGAGTGTCAATTTGGGATTTTTTTAAATGACTTACACACTCACCAACCACTCTACTCATAAATTTGCACCTTTCGTCAACAGCGGGACTTGAACTTAACATTTGGTTGAAAGACATATATCCGTCAACTTCTGATACCACTAGACCAGATGTCATTTGGCGCACGTGTCTCCCTTTAGGTCAATTTGGAACTAGCTCTAAAATTAGCAAGTTGATGGGCTAATAATGCTACCTAGCGAGAGATTAGAATTAAAGGCCCCATCCCTTAATTATCTTCATTTCAAATGTGGAAAAGCTAGAGAAAGAATATAGATGATTTGTATGGAGGAAATGGAGAACTTGGAAGCATAATCGAAGAACCTTGGTGAATCTAGATCAAAATATTCAAAGGAAAGCTTGTGAGGTAGTAAATTCCACTTCATCTTTTCATTTTAAACTTTTATGTCTTGAAGATTTGTACAAAATCCCATGATTTTATCACAAATCTATAAACATAAGTTCTTTTCCAAGTTGAAATTGAGTTCATAAAGTTTTAATGAACTACATTCATGATATATTGAATGGATCTAGTGTAATTTGTTTTTGATTAAAAAAAATAATTCAATGATATAATTTAGATGTAAGTTTATCAACGCAAAATCCATTTAATGGTGTTGAAACCTCTAAATGATTCAATGGTGGACTATAGGTCTCTTAATGGAGTTTTTGAGACAAATTTGTTTTGATAACCATTGAATCCATTAAATGTCAATTGAGTTGTATGTATAAGGTTAAACTTTGAAGTTAATTTTATCCATTCTAACTGCAAAACATAAGTGAAAATCAAATATACTAGTCGTTTTTATAATTAAAATTTCTATTGAAGATGATGATGTTAATCTTTGTAATTGAGGTATTAATCATGTTTATGATGTTAGTTAGGTTGTAATTAAGTGTTTGATCAAAATTTTGAACTCTGTTAATTCATATTAAGTCATCATAATTAGAATTAGAAGTGTTATCATTTTGGTCAAGTTTTTGAAGCAATTTTGGAACTTTTGCCCGTAATGACATGATATGAAACATGTAGGTCGTATAAATCCTTTGTTATTTCCAGTAGAACGTGTGAAACCCTAAGAAAATTTCATGAGATTTTACTTGACCTTGGGACATTGAGTTATCCTTTAGTTGACTCTAGTGCTTCCATTAGCTCATGTGATGAGATAACATGTCCCAATAACTAAGTTATTGATACATTTACAAGATTTTAGGGTATAGTTTAACATAATTTAAATTTAATGGACTAAATATGATAAATCCAAAATTTTGATGTCAAATTTTATCAAGGGATAATGACTTAAAAGGGTAACATATTATTCGGTTTGTACACATTTGGTCACTGAGTTTTTTTTCGTCCATATTTACCCCTTAAACTTGTTAAACTGTACACATTCAGTCCTTATGACCTGTTACTCCAGGTTAGCCGGGAAAAATGACTTGATATGGTAATATATTTTTCATTTTGTACACATTTAGTCCTTAATATTTTTGTACATATTTAGTCCTTAACATTTTTTTTGTTTCAAAATAAGTCCTTTTTTGTACTCATTCAGTACTTATGAATGATTTCTTTATGTTTTTTTTTCACGACATCTTACGTGAGACAATCATTGATGAGGTGCTTGGGGTTGTTGATGTTTATGTCCAATGCGATCTCGACTGCTTGGTTGCGTAAGTCTTGTGGTTTGGCTTAGGTCTTGTATTTTGAACATCGTAACTTCTTCATACGATATCAGATTTTAAGGATCTTTATCCACGTGTTCATTTTTTGAGTCTACTACAACTTTCATTAAAATTACTCCCGTTAAAATGTAATATATTTTTACTAACGATTTTATAAAAAAAACATACATACATGCATTCATAAAAAACGTATGGACAGGGAAGACGCAGTAATACATAGTAGGTGTTGCCGAGATGAAATGGGTGTTGCCGTTACATGGAAAATATGTATAAACGTAAAAATAAAGCGAAAAATTTTCCACTGCGAACAGAAAAAACAGGTGTTGTCGGTGCAACACCGGGACCATACTAAATCCGCCACCGCGTATGGATATAAAAATCGTAAGTAAAAATATATTATTTTTTAATGGGAGTAATCTAAATGAAAGTTGTAGTAGACTAAAATACAAACGCATGAATATAAAGATCATTAAAATCTGAGATCATATGAAGAAGTTATGACGTTCAGAACACATGACCTAAGCAACCAAGTAGTCGAGATCGCGATGGATATAAGCATCAAAAGCCCCATACACCTCATTAATGAATGTCTCACGTAAGATTTCATGAGAAAAAACTAAAAAATCATTCATAAGTACTGAATGAGTACAAAAAAATGACTTATTTTGCAAAAAAAAAAAAAAAAAAAAAAAAAAGACTAAATGTGTACAAAGTGAGAAATATATTACCCTATTAAGTCATTTTTACCGGGTAACCTGGAGTAGCCGGTCATAAGGACTGAATGTATACAGTTTAACAAGTTGAAGGGGTAAATGTGGACGAAAAAAAAAGTCAGTGACCAAATGTGTACAAATCGATAAATATATTACCCCTTACATTATCCCTTTTATCAATAATCCAAACTTAAAACACAAACACATCTTTTATTTTCATTTATCAATAATCCAAACTTAAAACACAAACACATCTTTTATTTTCATGGTTCGCTAGCTAGTCGCCTCTGTCGTCGCATATTCACATCATCTGGCTGTGTATCGTCACTCGCTGCTCGCCGCCGCCTCTATCATAGGATATTGCTCTGCTGCTTGCCTCTATCTTTCTTTCTCCCTTGAATAAGGTAACATCCCCGTTTCTCTGGGACTCTGTTTCTCACCTTCAATTCCCCACGATTTGCGAGCCTATTTAAATGTTGACAATCTAATCTACATAGCTCAACGCTTAAACCCTAATTTCATCTATGATTTGCTGATTTAGACCAATTTATGATTTTTTTGCCACTTTGTAACCCTGGTTTCATCTTAGATTTGGCGTGATCTTTTGAATGCTACCAGCTTGCCAGTCTTGATACCCATTCATAACTGATTTTGTTTTTGTTATTTAATTTCTTTTAACACATCCTGCAGAATCAGATACCTGAGTCTTTCGCGTAACGTATTTATTTTGTTCAGTTTTTTTCTACCCTTTATATCCGTTACGACTGAAACTACGACACTGCTGTTATGTTTTTGTCACTTGGATTCCAGACACTAATTGCTACATTGTGGTGAACATTAACAGTTGTGTTTTTCTCATAGGAAAAATAGAATGCCTGAAGATAAGAAAATGATAGGCCTTTCATGGGAACCAAAGCTACCTTCTCTTTCATTTGGTACAAAAAATGGGTCCAATAACAAATCTCAAAATATATCAGAAACTAATCTGGTATATAGACCCAACTCAGAGCTCATTGATGGGCTGTTTGTTCCACCTAATGACCCAAAAAAGGTCAACAAGTTACTAAAGAAGCAAGTCAAAGACACAACAGGAAAGAGTTGGTATGTAGTATTTTCACTTTCTAAGTCAAATCATATACCCAAGTTTTTTAAGATTCAGACATTGACTTAAAACATGTTTGAAATGTATGTAGGTTTGACATGCCTGCCCCTACTCTCACACCCGAGTTGAAAAAAGATCTTCAGCTCCTAAAGGTGCCATGACATCTCTTAATAAATAGATTAAATTGCAAAAAAAAACATAAATGATTCGACTTTGTAACAATTATGTGTATGTTTATAGTTGAGAAATGTGATTGATCCCAAGAGGCATTACAAGAAGGGTGACTCCAAATTAAGCACATTCCCAAAGTATTTCCAGGTAATGTTTGTGAGCCAGGTGGGGGTAGATTAGTCATTAGTGACATAATAATAAATTTAATAATTAAAATGGTGGTTAGGTTGGGACAGTGGTGGAGCCAGTATCAGAATATTTCACTTCTAGACTTACAAAGAGAGAAAGGAAGGCAACTTTGGCTGATGAGTTACTTTCTGATCAATCACTCAAGGTTTACAGGTGAGATTAATTTGTTTGATGATACTATATAATACTTGATTATGATGAGTTTTAGAAGGGGTTTTGTTAAAAGTTGTTGTGCATTGCATTTTATTAATTACAGGAAAAGGAAGGTTCGAGAGATTGAAGAGAAAAACCAACCTGGTGGGGTTGATAAATGGAAGATCAAAGGTAAAAGTTCATGGAAACGTGCAAAGCAAAGGAGGCATTGAATTGGGAATTATCAATTATGTAGTGAGTGAGAAGAGTATTGTGGAATTTAATCAATTGGTAGAATTATTATATGTTTTGTACTCTGTGGTATGCCATGTGCCATAGTGATCATTCCATTTTTGTAGTTCTCCATTTGAATAGTTAAAACTTTATCAAGAGTATGAACTTTAATCAACTCCAATTAATCATTTTGACCTATCTCTTTGTATCTTAATTGCTAAAATATATGAAGCTTCTCCTAAATCTTTCTGTGATTCAATTTCCATTGAGAAACATGCCTTAACAACATTATTTTGTGATTCAATTTCAACTGATAGTTCGACATCTTGTTGTTCTTGAATCTATTCAAGTTCAACACTACTCATGCAATCTTTGTTGTCAATACTCTTTTCCCAAAAAGTTTCCATTTTGAGCAACTAACCCTTTGTTTTTAGAAGCAATGGGACTCTTCCCGCTCTACATCTCATATGGTGTGTTGTTAAGAGTCTTGGTTAATATCTTGTTTAATGTAGGGACTATGGACAATTGTTTCAAGTGCATATCCTCGTAGATTGATGTGACTTGTCTGACCTTACCATGTCCAACCAAGTTCAATTCCCCCTCATGAACACGTTATTGTATTGAGTCATTTTAGTAGTCAATTGCAAAAAATTCCACAATCTTTCAGATGGTCATCGAACTCTTGACTCAATATTCACCACACCGATCACATCAAAAAGGCTTTAATTGTCATACCTAACTTACTTTCTACTTTGTTGTGAATTTGTTTGAACACTTGTAAGGTTTCATGTTTATGTCTCAAACACATAAATATAACCTACATATATTGAAATCATTCATTAAATGTTAAATGTTAAATGTGACAAAATATCTCTATCATCCTCTAGATGGTTTACTAAATGGTCCACAAATATATATGTATGTATGTGACTGAATCGTGCATCATATATTACATTTGTTTGCTTTTGACATTTTCCCTAAGGCTGAAGGGAGTGGGCATGCTATGACCCTCGCCAAGGAAGTGCTAAAGGTGCTAAACACCACCCCCTTCAAAATGTTATCAGCCTCGCTAAGGAAGGCTCGCTATGGGCTTAACAACAGGAGAGAGGAGAGAGAAACATGAATACTGTGTTCTTATTGGCTGATCCAAGTTTATACCTTTTTTTTATTTTTTTTTTCTAAAATAAAACTCATTAAACTAACAAACTACCACTCCCTACCTTTTTTACATTTTGGATGCTAACACACTCCCAACCTATGTGGCTTCAACAAAAATCTGATGTGGCATAAAAAAATATGATGTAGTAACATGCTACTCCCTTTAGCCTAAGTAAACATGACTCGCATGTTTTTTTTTTTTTTTTTGAACGACATACCACCTGAAGTCTGAAGCATGTGGAATTCAAACCTAGGACATCTCTATATTTTAGTGCTTAAATCCCAAGTGATCACCACTAATCCAAGTTGTTGGTGGTGACGTAATAAAAAATGAATACCAAAGAAAAACATGTAAACATCAACACTGGTTAACGGTCTTGTGCACATCCCAAGGAAAAATGTAAATAGTCCGACCACTTCGACAAAACGAGATCTTTTTTTTTTTTTTTACAATTTCGCCCAAAATTGGATTTTCACCGAAATCAAATCTTGGATTATGCTCATATAGCCTTCATGGGAGGCTCTAATACCATTGTTGTGTTCTAAATCATTCTTAGCAATTTAGATGATGCAACATAAGCAAAATATAAATGGAACCTAAAACCGATCCAACAACGTCACACATGAGACAAAAGGCTACAATCACAACCATAAGGTGTTTTATAAGATCCTTACAGTGAGATGAACTCTAGTTGATGTATAGTTAAATTCTACGTATGGTGTAGGAACCACAATTAGCTCCCCTCTAGCCATATCACACATGCATGCAAGATCCGAGCACAAAGGCAATATGAATGTTTTCACCTCTTAAACTCTTTAAAAAAACTTAACAAAGCTCTAAAATTTGCACTAGAAAATGAGGCAAAGCATCACTCAAATAGGTAGGGATTATGGTTTTAGACGTGCTTGTGAGCTACATGCTTGGATCGTGTTAGCTTTTCCCTTAGATACATGCAGACCACACCTATTCTTCCAATATACAATTTTAGTCCCATTCACTCCACAACACTTGTAGTCTTTAAACACTACTAGTACTTCCACAATACTTGCAAGCGTCATATTGTTCTTGGATAAATCAAATTGTCTACTACTCCTCGTAGTTGTTTTAACCGATATTATCCAGTTATGTCATATGCACATACTCCAAAACTAATAGTGTTGACATATCTCCTTAGGACCCTTCTATCTTTAATGATCCTCCATATCCTCTCCCCTGTGTACACTATCATATGATTCTCAAGATCAATCAAACACCATATGGAGATCTCTACTTTATATTTCTCCATATGTCCTTCCCTATTCTCCTTAATTTTGATCTTTGTGCATAAGAAATCCTTGTAACTAATTTCTTTCTTCAATCCCCTTTGTATTCCTATCTCTCTCTAACAATGTTACCTCGTTAAAAAAAGCATAGCCGCATTAATCACCCTATCTCTTCATGATGTCCTTATCTTTCATTAGAATTCGATTGTTGACATCTTTAATATACCTTATTTTTCCTACTTCTCTTTAGTTACTCACACTGGATTTTGCTAACTTGTAGATTTCATATTCCCCTTTTTTGATAGTCAATCTCCTATACATCTCTTCATAAGCCAAAAATTTGGCATCAACCACTACTTTCTTCGCCTCTCATTTCCCTCCGTTTATATATATGCACATTCTTCTCATAATGTAAATTAAATTGGGTGATGATTGGAACAAGTGTATAAGTGAAAACAAAATGGATTCCCCTCTTATGTCACCTACCTTTTAGAAAGGCCTAACACGCATTTTTTTTTTTTCTTTTTTTGCATCAATTGGGCTAAATAAGAAGCATAAATATGGTGGAAAACCATAACTCTAAATATATAAACAATTCACCCATAAATTATGAACATGATATTTACATTTCCAAACTAACAAACCTATTTATTGCAAAGACTTATCTATTCATACACTTGTTATGTCCAACCTAAGAAGCTTCCAACAACTTTGTTGTCAAATGTTCCTGACTTGATGAAACCGCAAATTCCTTTAGCAACTTGTCACATAACTGCACACATATGCTTCAATTAAGTATTCAAGGAAGAGATAGTGTAAGTGTAGTCTTATGAGAAACAAAGAGTTTACCTCTCTATATACACTTGCCTCACCACAACTTTTTCTTAGTTCAACCACATACAAACATGGACTTATTTCAAACACCTGTTGCAATCACATATACACAAGAACTTAGATTGTAACAAGATCAAGAAAACAATCATAAGAACTTGAAGAGGGCTTACTTCTGCTGTAACTGATAAACGATCCGACTCTCTATAGCCTTTATGTTCTTCTATTACTTTCAACTGAACAAATTATATTCACAAAAAGACAACTTCTTAATTTCTTCTAATTGTAAGCAGTGAATGCACATAACTATATTCATACTAACCTTTCCATTCCGTTTTTCAACTTTAAATCCCATATGTGTTGCTGTGTGCTCAATTCTCTCTAACAATTCCTTTGGTAAAAGAGTAGATGTAAATCTAACCTTCCTCTCTGATACATCCTGTAACAAACCAAACGGTGTTTGTAACTTTGTATCAAGTGTAATATTTTCTTAAAACTTAGAAAAAATATAAAATCCAATCAAAATCTTTACTTCTTTCTCAAAGAAACCCGATAGATCAAGGCTCCAAGACATTCCAATGAGCTCAAAAGCATTGATATGGGTAGGTGATTCTTGATTTTCTACAGCCTGCAGCAAGAAAATTCAAGAACTTCATAAAAAAATTAAAAAGTATCAACTTTTTTCATTAAAAGTAGCATTTCATTTCTTACAGTCTCTTGTATCGACAAAACTTCATCTTCATTAGATTTTGCAGGAGTATAATCTTGTTTAAACCATTCATCTACTTTAATATCTGCCAATGTTATCCTTGTTTTAGGGTTTGGATCAAGAATTCTCTTTATAAGACTCTTTGCTCCTGGACTCATCCATTTATGCATTCGCACATCCCCTTTGGAAATCTAGAAAAAACCCGAATCATTACAACATTAAAGAATCAATAAAGATAACAACTTTATGCATTTTTACCTTCTGATAAATCACAGCTAGGTTTCTATCATCAAAAGGTAGATACCCTGTAAGCATTGCATACAAGATGACACCACAAGACCAAGTATCTGATGCCCCTCCATCATACCCTCTGTTAGATAACACCTCAGGAGCAACATAGTTAGGACTTCCACATGTTGTATGCAATAACCCATCCTCCTAATCATAGTATAAAAACCATAAAAAAAACATAATTATCATCTGTTTTTATATTTCTTTCAATGCTGAAGTCATAGAGGAACATACCCTAAAATGTTGGGGCAATGCACTAAGGCCAAAGTCAGTTATCTTGATGTTTTCTTTAGCTTCCACAAGCACATTTTCCAGCTGCATTTTTCAAAACATATTTAAGGGTTTGACTAATGCAACATAACATTTTTAGGGTTTGACCAATGTAGATTGGAGTTTGACCTTGAGGTCACGGTGGAAAACACCTTTGTCATGACAGTAACTAACACCATCAATAAGCTGTTGGAATAACTTTCTGGCAGTTGACTCGGGTAACTTTCCATTTGATACCTATCAGAAAAATAAAAAAAAGATTGAAATTGTGACACAAAAGAAAAGAATGGTGATTAAAACTTACAATTGTGTCAAATAATTCGCCTCCATTGACGTATTCCAAGACCATATAAATCTTGGTTTTACTGGCTAAAACCTGCATGTAAAAAAGTAAAACAATGTAATTAATGGAGGTCAAGATTTTCTCAGAAAAAAAAACATAATTCTTTATTTCCATGTGTAATAACAACACACCAAACAATTTTGCATAATCATTCTTGACAATGTGACAACTTGTTTGCATTATAATTGTATATGTGAGGCCCCACTTTTCTTGAATTATAATAGATGTCTCCTCATAGATGCACTTGGACCCTCTTATCACTTTGTATACTTTGAACTTGAAAATTAACTATACGTAAAGAAAATTTTGGATAACCTTAAAGTTGACATTTAACTATACATAATGTATTATGACATAAACATTCCTAAAACTGAAGTAGAATAAATCAATGGGAAGTACTTGGATTTGTAATTTTAAACTAAAAAATGAACTTTATTTTGACAATGTGATAACTTACCTGAAAAACATGTTGGGATCCTATAGTATGATTGTAAGTTATAATAATTGACATATGTAATCATTTAGACTTATGTTTAGCTATCAAAAGACCTAATCTTTTTTGGGTTGCGTAATTGTTCTAAATATGTGGCCCACTTGACCCCAGCTACATGAAGTTTTACGACTTGATTAATTATAATAAAAAAAAACAAAAAGTTTTAGCATTATTTTAATGTACTGCTGAGTTTGAAAAATTAGAGTCCTGGAAAAGCAAACCTCGTGTAATCTAACCACGTTACGATGTTTAAGAAGCTTCAATGCAGCGATCTCCCTCTTTATCTGCATTAAGACAAATCAATGAGCATCGAAAGTATCGTTTGACTATTTAATTTTTTTTTTAATATAATCAAAACATAGATTTTTTATATCGACTGTTGCAGAGCTATTGATCTTCAGGGAGAATGAGAATGAGAATGAGAGAGTTATTTTCCACAAAACAAAAAGTAGCATTATGGTGTGTAAAGTTCCAACCCGCAATCAACAAGGATAAGTTAATTGATTGAAACCCATATGAAGATCGTTCCGGTAGAACCGATTAAAGAGTGTGAAAACCTTGATGAATTCGGTGGCATCTGTGAATGTGAAGAAATAAGAAGGAAAAGAATGATGACCTGATCGGATATTTTGAGGTTTAGTATGCGGGTTTTATCAATGATCTTGATAGCAAAAGAGTGTTGGGTTTGAATGTCTTTAGCATATTTAACCTTGCCAAAATTCCCTTCACCAAGAGTTGCTCCAATCTCGTATTTCCCCAATCTCAATTGCATTCCATCTTCTTCTTCTCCTGTATTCTTCTTCTTCTTCTTCTGATTCACAGCAAATACCATTCTTCTAAAATATGAAGTATGAAGAAGAGGGTTGGGATATGTTTACTTATATAGTTATAGTGAAACACGGAAGAGAACCACCCCTTCAGCCTTCCCTTCCCCTTTCTTAAATATATCCTTCTTTTTTCTTTTCTTTTTTAAAAGATGATTGCAATACCTTTGACTCTTTTTTTAAAAGATTTGTAAGATGATTATACTTTGATCCTTTTTAGTAAGTATAATCTTTTAAAAAATAATTTTATTTAATAAATAAGAGATTACCATTGTTATAATATATTTTGTTCAAGTTTTTCGTACTGACTATGTATAAAATAATTTTTAAAAAGGCAATAATATTTTCTATCTGTTTGACATTAACTGAGGATTTGTTTCTTTTTTATAAGTTTTGTATGTATAAAATAACTAAATTGTGATAATGTATGTACAATGTCATATACACAAAGTTTTTTTCTTTGTAGATAGAATAAACTATCATAAATAAAACTAAATTATTATTTTACCCTTTTGGTTAATAAATTTTTTATAATGTTTATCAATTTAGCAACCAAACAAACAAAGAGATCAAGTTACATAACATTTTAAATCAAAAAACCATTTAAAGTATTATAAATAAATAAAAAATAATAAAACTAATCGACCAACATCAAGACTTGCATTAGTAGTTGTGAATACTTCATTTGGTTAGCATGTTACAACTAACTTATTTTTTGAACTGTTTTACGTTGTTATGTTTAAAAAACTAAACCAAAGAGCTTTTAGCGCAACGGTATCAGGTGTTGTCATTTCTTCTTGAGGTCGGGGGTTCAAGTCCCGTCATGGATGTTGGTGGATTTATGAATAGTTAATAAGAGTATAATAGATTTGTCATTAAAAAAATAGTTGATAAGCTAGTTTTTTAAAAAGCTACTTAAACTGACATTTAAACAAGGTTATTAATTTTTTTTAATTCCCTCATATATATCATTTATTAATAATAAAAAAAACTCAATTTTCTCCAATAATTTACAGTAATGTATGCTTTTTTAAACTCCAATCTTCCATTTATTTGAAATATCTTTCGGCCAAATCATTAGAATATTATCATAAACACAAACACACACGCATATGCAACATATAATCCAAAAGAAATCCAAACAAAAAACTAATGTATACTTTAAGAGTTCAAAATCCCAATATAAGAAGGTTGGTGAATCAAGAACCTCGAAGAGGGATAGAAGAGGGATCACAGACAAGATAGAGGACCATTATGACGAATCAGTAAACATAGGTGCTTCAATTGGAAAATCATGAGTAAAGACCTAGGAAAAATGTCGCTATATCACAATCAATTATTGTTATTTATCCGATTTAGTCATTAAACTATTTTTTTTTTGCCCAACATGTCATTATAGTTACAAGTTACATATTAATTAAGACACTTTCATTAAATTTTAACGGATTCCGGTTATCAAGCCTATGTGGCTGGTTGACTTGTACCACTATGGCCATATCATATTTTTTTTCTTTGGAAAAATATCACTGTAGCACAATCAGTTATTGTCATTTACCCGATTTGGTCACTATTTTTATTTTTTTGCGCAATAAGTCATTAAACTTATTAGTTACTTATCAATTAACTCACTCTTGTTAATTTTTAATGGATCACCGGTTACCGAGCATGCATAGAAATGTGACGTGCCGATGGAGCTTATGTGGCAGTGGACCACACCATTAGTCATCCACCCTTTTTTATATTTTTTTCTATTTAATTTATATCATTAAACAAAAATATATGTCACATATCCAACCCATCACTCTAGACATTACCATATTCCAGAAATGTTCAAAATCAATTTTTGGAAAAACGAGTTCTGCAAACCGGAACCTAAGTCTGACAATTAGATCACGGCAATAATATCAATGTTGAGTGGAATCGGGTTTTGGCTTACACCTTTGACGTAGACGATGTCAGAGCTGAATCGTCCCTATGGCTATTAAATCAGAGCTGAAATTGACACGTACAAGGGTTTCTATAAAGGGAAACAATGTATTTTTAGAGAAGGAAGAAGAGAGAAAGACGTCTTCGGTCATGTTGGTAAAGGCGACATCGTACTTCTTTCCTGCCAGTGACGAGAAAGATGTCTCTGTTTTTATACCACCAGTTAGAAGGGAATAATAGACAAAATGAACTACGGAAGTGTTGTTGGCCCGAATCCTGTTAAAGATCTCGTTCATGAGAAAGAGAAGAATGTTAGGATTATGTGGGCGGGCCTAGTGTAATCAATATTATTAAAAAAATAAAACATAAAAAAGGGGGAAAAAGAAAATGTCAGTATAGCACAGTTAATTATTGTTATTTATCTAATTTGGTCACAAAACTACTATTATTTTATGCAATAGGTCATTAAACTTCCTCGACACGTCACACTTCCAAGTAGGCTTAGTAACCGGGTATCCGTTAAAAATTAACGGAAGTGACTTAATTTATATGTAACTTCTAAGTTTAATGATCTATTGTGCAAAAAAAAATCGTTTAGTGACAAAATTGGGTATATTAATAGTTGATTGTGCTACAGTGATATTTTTCCAAAGACATATATATATATATATATATATATATATATATATATATATATATATATATATATATATATATATAGAGGTAAGTTCAATTGAGAAAATAAAAAATGTTGAGAATGGGGAATCATTCTCAGCCAATCATTTAATTAGCATATTAGCATAAAATACACGGTGGCAAATTTGTAAATATGATATATTAACCTTCAATCACAGATATCATTTCTTCTGGATCGTTTATCTGTTCTTCATCAACATCATCTGTTATTCATTCATCTCAATTGTTCCTCTGTGTTCTTCATCAACATCATACGTTCTACTACTTGTTCGCTATCAAAATCACATGTTCTTCATAAAAAAAGACATCGACACTTCATAAAAACATCATTTCTTCATCAAAAATCTTCGTTTATTCATCAAAATGTTGTGATTCATCATTAAAAAACATTTATTCGTACTATTAAGTGTAAATCGTGATTCAATCTTGTTCAGTTTCGTTGACATCAAGCAAAATCGTTAAAATAATCCACATTTATCGATGTCACATCATTTAGTGATCACCAATCATCGAAACTTCATCAAAGGAACTTTCGCCAATATCAAACAACAGATAGCAATCGAAAGTTCATCAACATAACCATATATTTGAAGATTTTTAAAAAAATCGTTTTTCAAGTTTGAAAAACTTCGTTTTTCATACATTTTTTTCACAATTTTTTATATAAACCTATTGATTATTAATCAATTTTGATAGGATTTGATTTGTTTTGTAATTATTGGCTTGAATTGTGAATTTTTTACCATAGTTATATAAGTTAATTTATTTGCACGCCAACTGTTCGATGAAATGCATAAACTAAATATATCACGTAATATTTACAAGTGAATATGCCTTTATACGAGAATCAATGTATATATCTTTTAAAAACACAGAGCAAGTATGTAATTTATATGTGAATAATATATAAAAAAATATATTCACATGCGAATACATGTAATATTCACAAATGAATACAGGTAATACGTCATTTTAAGGTCCTAAGCAAGTTTGTAATTCATATGTGAATAACATATAAGAATTATATTCCGCATGTGAACATATGTAATATTCACAAATGAATATATATGTAATAATCAAATGTGAATATATATGTATTATTCACAAATTAATAAAACTGTCAATAAAACCGAGGACTACAAAATATATAAAATTAAAGATAAAAAAAGTATTTGATAAGAATATATATTTATTCATATACAACTAATCTTTTTAGGTTAATAAAATAATTATATAAGCATATATATTTTTATTAATGTTATATTCATTTGTGAATAAATGATAACTTTTTTTTCGGAAAATTATAAAAATAGAAAAATGTCATTTTGAGGCCCTAAACAGTCCCGAATGGCCGAAAAACACCGTACGTCACGGCGAAGCGGTGAGTTTTGTAAATCGCACCATTTTACATCAAATATGCGAATTTCGTCCAATTCCGAGACTAAACTTCATTACGGCAAATTGTTTTGATGATGTCACTAAATTTTCATTCCTACTAGTGATGACATCATCATGACATGCTATTTATTCATATATGAATAAAGTTTAGAAATCATTACGACATATTTACTGATGATGTTACTAACTTCAATCCCACTAGTAAAAACATCATTTTAATCTGTTATTTTTATTTATGTGAATAAACTATACATGTTAATTTATTTATTTTGTGAATACAACCTTTATATATAAAAATAAATAATACACTATAAGAATTGGTTTGTGCATAATTTTTTTGTATATTGTAACAATATTATTTTACATGTAAAAATCAACATTATACTAAGACAAACAACATTGTATTGGTTAAGGAATATCATTTGCATTTGAATTTAATACGATCAAAATGAAGAATATATTTAATTGTATAACATTTACACGTGAATATAAAAACATATTGTCTTCGTCAATGATATTTTCTCAATTACGTCAACCAATCGTCAACCACCGGAATATGAACCAACCATTGATTGAAATGTTATTCTTTTATTGAGTTATAACGATACCTGAAAAACATGTGAATACACATAAAAATGTTAAAAATATACTTTTAGTTCATAATAATAGCGATTTATCACATTCTAATTATCACATGGTATATTCACACATGAATGTATAATCATATGTGAATATTATATGATATATGTTGTTTATATTGTATATTTACATGTGATATTACATGGTATATTCACAAATGAATATTACATAGTATATTCACATATGAATATAATATGGTAGATTCACATGTGAATATTATATGGTATATTTACTTGTGAATATTACACATTCTAGTCATATTTAAATATTACATGGTATATTCATTCATGAATATTACACAGTATATTCACATATGAATAATATATAGTATATACACTTGTGAATATGATACATGATATTCATATTTAAATATTAAACGATGCATTCACTTGTGAATATTACATAGTATTTTCAC